ACACACAGGTTTTCACTAACAATATAACACCCGTTAATTTGTTTATTGTCTCCACTTTCCAGACCATCGATAGTAACGATTCGCACAACTCTTGCGTTGATTTTATACTGTTTGCGACCATTTGTGCCGAATATTCTGTACGGAATCGGGTGTAAAATTATGAATTTATGTTTTTAAATTTTTACATTATATCAATAAAATGTTATAGAGTAAAAAGAAACTACTGGTTATGGGCCATTAAACTTATTTGAATCTTTGATTATATTATGTTTGTAATTTAAGTTTAAGTTATTACAGTTTTTATATAGTAAATAGATCAAATTATTTGTCTCTCTCTCTCTCTCTCTCTCTCTTTCTTTCTCTCTCTCTCTCTCTCTCACTCAATCAGTCACTACATCTCTTGTAAGCAAAACCAATCACTCAATTGAATTTTATTTAAGATATTAATTCAACAAGCTTTTTTAAATTACTTATAATAAAACTAATGAAACTAACCATTTAATTGTTGGCGTATGACATACGCCACATAAAGCATCAAAGTTAGGATTGACGTCTTGGTCACAGCGATCAGGAATGATGAGAGGGCCAGGAATATAATGCGATACTTGTGCTCATCTATCACATCCATGAATTGTGCGTCCACCTTTATAAAATTGATTTCCACCGATACAATCTTGGTCACGCCCATAATTACCACATAAGCGTAAATTGAAATTAATTCGCTTGTCGCTTTTATGTGACCTAAGTAATAACAATGATGTAAAGTTTTACATGTGTTTTAATTAGTTAATTATATTTATATAATTTAATGTTTGCGAAAGTATTATATAAGGATATTCTAAATTATATAAAGTAATTTTTACATTGTTTAAGAATTGTAATATACTTAATGAGTTTTACAATGCAGCATATAATGTACGTAGCGTTGCCAAACATACAGGAATTTCCTGTATTATACAGGAATTTTCACATAATACAGGAATAAATATTTTTAAAATAAGCTGTAATACAGAAAAATACTGGAATTTTTGGCAATTTTCTTACATTTATACAGGATTTTCAACATATGATTTGGCAACGCTAAATGTACGCAACAATTTGAATAAAAATAATTTAACAAGTTTAGTGTTAATTAAATGGATTCAACTCTCATTTCCGAAAATTATGTGATTTAACATAATAATTACACGCATACAAAAATGTATAAAATAAAAATTACAGTTTGTATTAAACACATATGTACAGACATAAACTACAAGATCAAGCAGAGTAATAATTTGTGCAATTTGATATATAAACTAAATCTACAAATTAATTAAGTGATTGAGAGAAATCAACAAAATAGAGATAAAACAATTAATAAATAACAAAAATACAAAATGTTACCGATTGAGTGAATGCAATTATAAAGCTGTTTGCCGTGATAAATGAGCATGATCTTAATGAACATGAACTCGGTGGCCAACATTGAGGCCGATGTCTTAAAAATGACATTCAAAATGCCCTTATGTGAGGAACTCTGGAAAATTATATTAAACGAATCGTCGCAATAGATTTGTAGCTCAAACGTTATGAACAACAAGACTGTAAACATTTCGTACGCAAACAATAGCACCCGTTTTAGTGTACCCGTTGTGATGCCCAGGATTGAACTATTGCCACCATATGTTACCCCAAAAAATGCATGTAGCCGAAATATCGCATCTAAAGCATGGTGCTTTTTGTGCTCATCGGGGTAATTCTGGTGCTCAGCGTACATATTGTTTGCATCGATGCTCATTCCGGTACTACTAATATCCAGCATAAGCGGTGTCATCGGGTATTTGCATTAATGTAATACTTCTTGTATAAACACTATGGATCATGTCAGTTTATTAATAGTTATAAGAATAATATAGTTGGACGTGAAATAGTTTACATTAATAGTTGCTAAATGATTTATTCCTTGTATACATTGTATGCTATTACTATGATATAAACATCTAACTAATTATATTCTGTAAGCTTTTTATTCGGATTCATAATTATTGTTATTGAAATATATTTTATTTTCATAATAGTTTTGAGTTGTAAAGAATATTCAGTTTGTTTAAAGAATAGGAATACACTTATGAATATTAATGTACTATTTGTATGAATATTTTTTATTTAAAATATGTTTTAACAGGCTTGTATAGTGTTTTAATTATAATACTTTATAAATCGTTGTTATTCATGTCAATAAAAGTAATTATTTTATAATCACAATACTTGTTTGTTTGCAAAATATTATGAACATTTAATAGAAATATAATAATTGCATAAATATATCTGTAATGTATATTATTATAAAACTGAGAGTAGGAAAATCTGAATAATTATTAATATAAAAAACACTATAAATATTATATTGTACCTACGAGTTAAACATTTATATCCTAAATCAATAAATAACAATCAATATTAAACAAATTGATATTATGCAGACAGAATAAAACTTTTAATTATAATTTTAACATTAATTTATTATATAAACAGATTTACATTATCCAACTAGAATTGCACTTAATAGATTGTTTGTGTGCACGTGTTTACTAAATAATTAGTACTGTTAATTAGTTTATTAAAAAATTTGTAAAAGTATTTATAAGTTATTTTTATAATATAAAATTATTCCAAGCGTTGCGTTTCTCTCTAAGGCTCTGTAGTTCTCTCTCTCATAAAAATATTTAACAGAAAACTGTAACAAAACAATTGCTATGAAATTGTGAGCAGAAATAATTTTTGTTGAAAAATGTTTTCATAGATTTAAGACTAGATTTAAGTTTAAATTATAAGAGTGTGTAAAACAGCTGTCAATGTATTGCAATACAAAAGGGCTATCAATGAGAGTGTGTATCAAATATGAGCTCAAAGAGTGTGTATAAAAGGACTATAAACATAAAGTACCATGGTACAACAAANAATGTATTGCAATACAAAAGGGCTATCAATGAGAGTGTGTATCAAATATGAGCTCAAAGAGTGTGTATAAAAGGACTATAAACATAAAGTACCATGGTACAACAAACAGCGCTGTAAATGGTTAACCAATTAAATAATCATGATTAAGTGTATGATAGCCCAAAAAGTCCTTTTGTCAGTTAAAATTTATTAAAATATATTTGTTAATACCTTTTTAGATTAAATTGCATTTTAATAAATTGACCATTATAAAAATCGTTTGTATGACTGAAAATAAGTGATCACTTGATTATGTAACATGATTCATGTTATGATGCATAGCAATTTTATCAATAAACTAGTTATAATATAAATTAAATCTTCGATTTTTATGTTGATTTACCAATTTCGAATAAATATTTAGATATTATTTTTGTAAATAATTAATAATTATTTAGTACACAACACAATGTTTAGCTTGTGTTGGATATTGTAGCTAAGTTTTGTTTAGATATTTTGTTAACCTATTGATACAAGGTTAATAGTATATAACTAATTCGAAAATAAGAATTAGTTAAAAATTAAACAATTATTTGGCATGAAATACTGAACTAAATGTACCATGAAGATTTTAAATCGTTATCTAAAGCAGACAATTTCTCCTCTTAAATACAAAATCCAAAGTATTTTACACTTTAGTACATGTCATAAGAAAGTTATGAATTAGCAACACAAGAATCTGATAGTTTTGACATTTACCGGGGTAACCATTTGTTGCACTTTTAAATGTCTAATGCTAATTAATTGAGAAATAGGCCACGTTGTGCACTCCCCTCAATTTCTAACCTCGTGTCCTTTAAAATATCACATTTAATCTACATTGTTGTCAAATTCTGTTCACCAGAATTAACACTTATAAACACTGATAACGGGATTGTATTTTGAAACATGTATTTCATAATCTAATTCTGGTGTTTAGTATTTAAGTCAAGAATTTTATTGACAAAAAAGTCTATTAAATTAAGTGAAAGTTTTGGTCGCATAAGAAAAGCATTGATTTATTTCAAATCATGTTTCTCTCCACAGCTATCGTAACGTTATTTAGTATTCACGCCATTGTCTGCGAAGACGTGAACACTATAGACGTGAAGACCAGTTCAGGTGTCGTTAGGGGACAGACACTTGTATTCAACAACAAGTCTATTGACCAGTTCTTGGGTATACCCTATGCTGTGCCCCCATTGGGTGCACTCAGATTCTCTAAGCCTAAATCAATTGACAAACCAGCGGTCGTACGTTAAACCACATCATTATTATAATTAATTAAATAAATTATAATTAAAATTAACAAATAAATAAAAACCTGGTATTAATAGGAGATAATAGACGCGACTGCAGCCAAGTTCTCATGTATGCAAAAGGACGGCACCGGTCTGTTGAAGGTGAGCGAGGATTGCCTGGTGGTGGACGTATGGTCGCCCCACCGTGGTAAATCACAAATCGCCGAACCACTCAAACCGGTAATGTTTTGGATATACGGCGGTTCGCTGACCAGCGGATCCATATTTTTGCCCACATATGACGGCAGACCGTTGGTCACACA